TCTCTCTCTCTCTCTCTCTCTGTGCATATGTGTGTGCAATGTGTGTGTGCAATATGTGTGTGTCTGCATATATGTGTGTGCAATGTGTGTGTGTGTGTGTGTGTGTGTGTGTGTGTGTGTGTGTGTGTGTGTAAGACACTGCATGTTGTGGATGTGTTTTCTGTATCTATACGTATGCATCGTGGAGAGAGTGGGGATGAGTTGAGGGGATGGGTTTTGGTGTTTTGGTATTTGGTGAACAGGCTGGAGTATGTGGTTGCCTTCCTGAAGCAGCAGCAGCAGCATGGGTTATCTTCAGGCACAGCTGGAGCTCTTGTTGAAGCCTCTGCTTAAGTACATAGCAAGGATTGCACTTCTGCAGGGTGCAAGGTCGTTAGACTCTTTACTGCTTTTAAAAAAAGCAAAAGAAGGGGTCTTACTACCGTCTTACTGCTATGCGAGGTATTTGCTGGCGAATGGAGTGAAGGACTACATCAAAATTTACAGCTACTATCTTGGTAATGGTGTCTGAATCGCCAAAGCTTGCTTTATACAAGTCTTGAATTTGCCAAAGTAATTACGTGTGATATATGAATCCGTTCAGCCGTGAAGATGTATAGAAGCCACCAAAGTAATTTCGTGTGATATATGAATCCGTTCAGCTGTGAAGATGTATAGAAGCCACAAGGGAAGGATGAGCACTATCAGGGCATACAATACTCACATTGGCACTTTTCTGCTTAGCTCTGTACGTGATCACAGTCAGGTTTGTCCAGGTCTGGCCATAATTGCAGCCAGATGCATTTTGGAAAGTGCTAGTGTGAAAACTATCAGACAATCCTTCAGGTGCAGATTTAAAAAGGAGACAGAAAGGAAATGAGCCTCGGCCACGGTAAAATTGCCAGTCCTTTTTTCTGAGGAAAATGCCCTTGGAGATCAAACGTGCGAAGGTAAAAATATTAAATGCCTTTGAAGATTCTAGAGTTTGGATTTCCAGCCTTGTGAGATGTGAAGGCCCTTGACATTTGGCTTGGCATTGCAGCTCGCCACCGATAGAACAAAGCAATAGTCAAAATACAAACAAAAAGGGAAAAAAAAAGACCTGGCCCTTGTGGACGGCTGTTTGCCTTGGTGTGTTTGCAAATTGGCCATGATTGGTTTGAAATTACCCACTAGGTTTTTGAAGAACCAGTGACATGTGTGTCATGTAAGATTCTCATTCACAAACGTGAAAGAAAGCCAAGTCAAATTTCACAACCAGGCACAAAGTGTGAATCAAATGAAACCTCGAAAATTACGGCAAATAAGCCTTCCGCATTCCCAATAAACCTCCGATCGTTCCACATATCCGACGTCCACTACCGTAATGGAAGTTGGTGTCCCGCAAGAGGTCGAGGCTATTGCATTCACACTTCTTATAGTCCTACTTCTGGCCATGCACGGACCAAAGGCTCAAAACGTGCAACCCGGTACCAGGCCCAGCAAACCGGGACCAGCCTGGGCATCCTTACCAAATAAAAGGCCTACTTCTAAACCAAAGTGGGGTCTACCAACAAAACAATAAAACAGCCAAAGCCTAAGTCAGAGCCCCCGGTCGGCTGGTATTACACAGACAAACCCAACAGGGTACTGACAACAGTCCGAGGCTTGCTCGGAAACAGACCGGTACCGTCCACAGTTGCTACTTAACCGGTCGAGGCGTCCACCAGGACATCAACATAGGCAGTTCCCCTGTGCCGACTCAAACCCAAAACCGCAGTACTCCCAACTTTTGGTTAAAAACCCTCTCAGAATATTCTCACAAGTCAGCCGCCTCACAACCATGTCAGACCATTCCCCAGTGTCAGTCGTCTCATGGTAACAACGCTGTCAGAGTATTCACCCAAGTCAGCCACCCTTCATAGCATGGTGCATCTCCCACGATATTCGAGCGTGCAGTTGCCAACCCGATACCAAACCTTGTCATAATATTCAGTGTGTCCAACATCCGACGCATGTGTTACGGTGCTGTCTTACTAATCAATTCGTCAGATCCAGAGTCCGCTTCCATACCTCCCCTTTCCGAAAGGCAAGTCTACGTAATACTCTCTCAAAGAAGCTCATAGGGACATCTTTCCTTCTCAACTCCCGTCTCAGTGACAACAACCGCCCAGGAATCTCAGTGCGAATCGAAGTGTTTTGATCAATCCGATGCAGGTAGCTACTAATCGCAGCGCTGTTTTGCCGCTTACTACCCCAGGAATGAAAAGATTGTCCAGTCTGAAATTCGAGATCCTCACGCGTCCATAGGTTTGCCTCATTTCGGGACATTTGTACACATCCAAGATACGGGTAGGCGCGTGAGCACCTAACCTCGCAGCCCAGGAAATCCAGAATACCTGTCCCGTTATCTGTCCGTTTCAATGACAGATTTCGGGGATAACATTCTGAGAAACGCTCCAACACCCATTCAACCGTCCCACCGGAGAGAGGCAATTATCAATATCACGCCGTCGACAAGCCGAATCCTGAAAACATGCCGGACGAATCGTCCCAGGCTGCGTAAAAACATATACTCCGCATATGCGCATAAGATGCACGCTAGAGGGAGACTAGTGCTTTTTCCCATGGGGATCCCTACATCCTGTCTGAGCAAGACGGTTGTAGCATAGATGTAGGTGTGCTGCAAATCGATGGTAACAAATCTGACAGTGTACAATTCTTCAAACTCTATCTTCCTCCAGTGGTCAGCCCCAGTCGTCATTCCAAAGGAAGCTCCCTTCTCCCTCTTGTGTTCACCCTTACAAAATCCCGGGCCATCTCGGAATGGTAATTCAGTAAGCAGCAGCTCACTGCCTTTATGATATCATTGTGACGTGACCGGCTAAACATGTCCTCAATATCAAAGGACTGAGCCGTGAGTTTGGTCAAACTACCCAGTCGTTGGATCTTAGCTTTCACCCGATCCAATCTAGTCGTCAGCTGTGAGACAGCTGGAAGATTAAAATTACAGTCCACTGGCAGTTTGGATAACAAGAAGTTCAGTCCCTTGGCGACAACCTTGCCAGTGCGCTTCATTGGCTCACCAAAGGTCGGGCAGTTAGGACGATACCTCGTCAAATCTTTATGTTTTGGAATTATATAGGCTGCACCCAAAGTTCCTTTGTTATCCCAACGGACAAACTTCTGCAAACCGGCCGCTTTCATATCTTCTCTAATCTCACGCAATACAACTGCTTCCGCAACTGGCATGACTGTATAACCTGTGTTCCTGATGAACATGCTCAACGTAGCCTCATAATAAATTTTCGGGCACATCACAACAGTTTCTCCTGGGTTACAATTGAGAGGAGTAAGCACAAGACCATCGAACTGTTGCTTCAACTTCATGACATCATGAATAGACAACTGGGTTCTGCCTAAATCACAGGAGCTAGTCATGCAAGATGACAATCTCTCCATCGATATTCGTGGTAATACACCCCAGAAGTTCATCCAGCTTCGGAAACCCTGTACCACCTTTGACCGCAAAGATAGCAATCGATCAGTTGACTGTGCACGTGGAATATTATTAACATTTATTAATAACGGGTGGTCCACCGTTTCCTCCTTCAGAAGAAAGTGCACGTGCCCATCCATACGCGGCTAGGGTAATCCTGTACACCGACAGGTCAGCACGTTACGGGTAGAAAATTCCCGGTGATTGTGCACCAACTCGCCAACCGTCTGGTTCTTCTGCCAGACGATTCAAGTCTTCTTCTGTGCCCGACGCATGAAGCAGGTGGGTAGGTCACAATGCATCAATACATCATTCACTACCTTATGTAGTTCACACACCTTGACTCTATCATCAAACTTTACCTTGATCAACAGATCAGCGCTCAGGCTAAGATCAAATTTATCAAGGAATACTCTAGCGATCAGTCTCCGAAGATACTTCCTCGTTGACTTTCTCGAGAAGTCTTTAACCGCATTATACAATCGTAGCATCGAACGCATATCCCATTTCCAAATCCTATCACGAACTCTCAGGTTTTCCAAAAACGAAATCAGGAAGCGTTTTAAGTACCCACAATGTGGTTTCCACAAGACAACATACTCAATCCCCAGGTATCCACCATCCTCAAACCAAGTCTTACAGCCTTTAAGTAAACGAGATTCACCGGCTCGTATAACTTTAGTAGCCCCAAATTGCTTGGAAATCTTCCTCCATGATGACTGCCAAATGTTCGCGCCACCAGTGTAGATCTCAAAACTTCGTACATCAGCTAACTCGTGACTCTTCAGTATCTCATACAGGTCCAGTCGCCAGTCACTCGCTGTCGTGGAACGGAACCGAATAGCTGCTATGACACGTTGGTTGTCATGTACCTGATTACCCTTACGGGCTCATTCGTTCTTACCCAGTGATTTCGTTGATCGTTTATTATTTCTCCGTACTCCCAACGTGTTGAGAAATGGCGACCACTGCCGAATGTATACCCCTTCCACCTTAGTCAATTCATCGTCAGCTATGGTGTCTACAGGTGCTAGGACATAGTTCTCCACTCCGAAGCAACCCAGCCACCGGAAGAAATGGTTAGGAGATCTTTTTCGACACGCATGAGGTGTTCACACCAGTGGACATCCAAATGTCTCGAGGACCTACCTACATACTGCGATTTACAGTACGCAGAAACAGCCACGTATACACTTGACTTGATATTGACGAAGTCAGACCCAAAATAATCAAATTGGCGTATCCATGCATCCACACACATCCTCGTCCTTCTGAGCACACCGAAGAGTGATAGGTTAATGATTGCTAGTCTAAGGAGTTCCTCTACCCTAGCATCCACACCATTAATCAAGGTACGTAAATGAGTAAGGCACTGCACAATACTCCACAAGTCAGCACTAATGAAACCACATCACTCCTTTCCATCATTCCCTTCATCACCAGTCGTCTCCTTCGCACCAATCACTGGCGCAGCCTCTCCTTCATCTTCATCATCCGTACCGTAAGCGACGTGTGCGATGAGCCGCAATATCAAAGATGGCTTCAAACTTACCGTTATACGGTACCCCTTCGTCCTTGCAGATGTTCTGCGGGACTAACGCATCCAAGTTCTTCAAGTCGTTCAATACCCATTTCTCAAATCTCAAGCGTCCGACAAGCCCAATGGCCGCTGGGATCTTCTTGCGAATCGATGGCGGGGTCTTCTTCGGGGTGGGTGTCATAGTTGCCCGACTCATAGATCTCGTCATTCTCCCTGCATTGCCTGCAAGCCTCCCGGTCGTGATGCCCTTCTGGGCGTGCGCTTGGGTGGCAGCTCCATTTGCAGGCTGCCTTCAAACACCGCTTCCGGTCCTCGTTTTCTCTTCTCGGTGATGGACATAGGCTCAGTTCATCCGTCTCGCTACTACTCGTGCTGCTCTCATTGGCCGGCTCCACGGTTTCCGTCGCCTTCTGCTTGACGCGTGTCACTACACGGCAAAGTTCACCGATCGCGTCACGGATCTCCTGCCTTACATCCTCACGTACATCCTGTCTGAGCTCGCCGATCCGAAGGGCCATCTTAATGTCAAGGCTCTTGTGTAACTCTTCCTTCCTCTCAGCTTCCTTGAGCGCCTTCTCCTCCTCCTCCTTCTTAAGCAACGCTTCAGCTCGTTCAGCTTCCGCTCGCTCCTCCGCTTCTTTCTTCTCCGCCTTTCTACGCTCCTTCTCAGCCCTCTTCTGCTGTTCTATTTCAACATATTGGCACACCACGGTGACGCTCTTCCCTATTTCGGCTACCTTGGATTCCAAAGGATCAATCAGCTGCGAGCGCCTGGTCTGGTCCAGTCTACCTGGTGAGCTTGATCCACCTCGGTTTGCTGATGTCCCAGGGTAAGCGTTTCTCCTTGGATGTGGGCACTGATTGGCATAGTGCCCTGGTTCGTCACAGTTGAAGCAAATTTGAGGTCCTCGTCGAGGTCCTCGATCATAGCCCCTTTCACCCCGGAGCCTCTGATAACCTCAATGTCTAACCTCCATGTCCCCTGTCGCTACCATCGCCGCGATCACTCCCGTAGCCTCGGTATGCGCTCCATAGTCACGATATCCACTACCTTCTCTACCAACGTCACCCTGATCGCGATTACCGCCTCCGTAGTCTCGATTGTCCCCATGTCCGGCCATCAACCCCGACTTGAGCAGCCCAGACAATCCAATCCCGTATACTGACTCTTGAAAATCTTCACCGCAGCGGGGTTCCACTCCTAGTCTTCGCAGTCCAATGTACTGATGAAGACTATTGAATAACGAGATAAACATGCTCACTTGTCCTGGGGTCATGCTCACTTGTCCCGGCAGCTTGACCCCAGGACCGTTCACACGTGCAATAGACAGTGTCATGTAAGATTCTCAAATTTCACAACCAGGCAAAGTGCGAATCAAATGAAACCTCGAAAATTACGGCAAATAAGCCTTCCGCATTCCGAATAAACCTCCAATCGTTCCTCATATCCGACGTCCACAACCGTAATGGAAGTGGGCGTCCCGTAAGAGGTCGAGGCTATTGCATTCACACTTCTTATAGTCCTACTTCTGGCCATGCACGGACCAAAGGCTCAAAACGTGCAACCCAGTACCAGGCCCAGCAAACGGGGACCAGCCTGGGCATCCTTACCAAATGAAGGCCTACTTCTAAACCAAAGTGGGGTCTACCAACAAAAGAATAAAACAGCCAAAGCCTAAGTCAGAGCCACCGGTCGGTTGGTATTACACAGACAAACCCAACAGGGTACTGACAACAGTCTGAGGCTTGCTCGGAAACAGACCGGTACCATCCACAGTTGATACTTAACCGGTCGAGGCGTCCACCAGGACATCAACATAGGCAGTTCCCCTGTGCCGACTCAAACCCAAAAAAGCAGTACTGCCAACCTTTGGTTAAAAACCCTCTCAGAATACTCTCACAAGTCAGCCGCCTCCCAACCAGCCACTAGTGTTGTTTGCAGTGTCGAAACCTTTTTTTTTTTTTTTTTAACACSCCCCCACCAGTGCAAGTGGTGCTGATAAGAGCAGACACGGCTAGCACCTGGGGGGAGGCTCCATCTATTGGTGGGGGGGGCAACACCTGCTGGAAAACGGGTCCAGCGTCCCATTCATGGACAGAATTCAGAACATATCAGAAAAACAGAGATGCGGGATATTCCTGCCAGCATTGATTACCCTGGGGTTGAGCAGGATGTTGGTGGGGGGGGGAACCTCTTGACCCTGAACCTGGCGCCAGATACCTGCTGCTACACACTGGTTCCTCCCTCCTCCTACCTTTTCAGATACACCACCTCTGTTGATGCTGCTGGCTTACTCACACCGCTCCATACCATTGCATGTCCACCATGGTCAGCTGATGGGGAGGGAAAGGGTCAGGAAAGTCCGAGGGTGGCCGCAACGGGATCCTTTGGTCCACTGTTGTCCAATCTCTGAAGCAGATGCGATAGTCTCTCTTGATCGTTCCCTGGTTGCCTTCCTCGATACCTTCGTTACCTTCCTGGGCGCAACCACCATCCCACTTGACGAAGGTGATCCGGCCTCCGTTCTCACTGTAGCCAGTCCCCTGAAAATTGTTGAATTTTCTGTTTTATATCCTTTGGTGTCTGAAACCGATCCAGCTGGTTTTTAACTTTCTGTCACTGTGCCATGAGATCTTGAAGTACATATTGTTTGACCATGTCCGTCATTTCCTCCCCGGCTATGCGGAACCCCTCCATGGCATGTATACAACATCTTCTCCAGATGGGCCACATGACGGCTCTCCTCCCTATCTTGAACATGTTGTTTTTGAAGGTACGGCCTGAGGGGGAAGTCCATGTCTCGCATAGAATCGCCGTCCAGTCCCATGGCCAGGTAGAGCCGGTATCCAACAGGTTCCAGATTCTGTGCCACCATCGCCAGGTAAGGACAGCCGCCGGAAACTGCAAGAATATGTGTTCAACTGTTTCTGGGATCTTGCAGGAGGGGAACGCCGTGTGGCACAACTTGCACCACGGGAGCGCCAGGCCTTTCTGTTCCAGGTAGGTGCGATCTATTAGCCAGTTGTTGGTGGGGAGGCAGCGGTGTTCTATCTGACCACTGCAGTGAGGCCAGCTTTGAGTGTGAACCACTGAATGGGGCGGATGGCGTCGACCCCCACATATTCAAATGAAACCTCCAACGGGTCTTCACGATGTCTTTCAAGTTAACTGTGGGGCGTAGTAAACGGTACGTGGCCTCAGGGACAAGCAAGAAAGCATTACATTCTTAGTCACCCGGGTTCTTCGTGCAGGGGGACACTGCCACTCCTCAGGGTCAAAGGGGAGGTTTGCAAGACAGGTCTCCGACCGGTATGCTATCCAATCTTCCTTATTTTGTAACACCTACATTGCCTGTTCCTTTGTAGAAGAGATTAACCAGTGTTTCATCCGTGCGTACCTCTACGACGCTCCCTATGCTCTTTGGGTCTCCCGGAGCAGCAACCCAATCCCCTTCCAGTAGCATCGGTCCCTTGCGCAAAATGCGCACCCAATCCAGGGGAATTGCAAAGATCAGTTGTTCTAAATTCCTTTCTATGTTGTGATAGTGTTTCAGTAACGTCCTCATCTGTGGAACCGTTTTCCAGTCCTTGTTTTCTGAATCTCATTTCTTTAACTCGAGGTATGCCTTTCTTGACCCAGCTGCTCCAGGGGGAGTCTGGACTGCAGTATATATCCTTCCGTTCCGGTCCGTGATATTTTTGTTCCCATACAGGGGTTGTCTAGCCACCTCCTCCCACCTGGTTGGCCC